ATATATTACATTAAATATAGTATGATTATATAGTTAATTACTATAACATTAAATTATAGTATGATTTAATAATTCAATAAACATTACATAATTAAATAATACTTAATTGATTATGAATTATGTATTATGTTTTAAACATTAGTAATTACTAATTTGCTACATAAATATTAGCACAAACTTAATTAATGATAACATTACCTTATAAAAATTTCATTATAAACATTAATTAACATTACATTATGTTTAATAATTAATCAATTAAATTATAATATTATAATATTACATTATATATTATGATCACTTACTAATTATAGCATTACATGTTAAATGATTATATAATACATAATTAGTTATGATTATAAACATACATTATAAACATAGTAATTTACTAATTTACTATATTATTACATTACTTAATTAAACGATTAAAAATTTAATTAATATAACATTACCTTATATATTTATAATATAATTACTTAATCAATTATAACATTCTATTATAAACGTTAGTATATTAATCAAATGATTTGAAATTTAATTAATTATAATATTAAATTATAGATTTATAGTATTGATTATTTAATTCATTATAACCTACATATACTATTATAGTATGATCATATAATTATATAAATTACATAATTAATAATTACTTAATTAATTATGAGATATGATATTATATTTTAAACATTAGTAATTACTAATTACTATATAAACATAGCACATACTTAATTGAATGATAAGAAATTTATTAATTATCATTATCTTATAAACATTTCATTATAAACATTAATTAAGCATTACATTATAGTTAAATAATACTCATTAAATTATAATTATTTATACATTATTATGATCACTACTTAATATGTATTATATAGTTAATGATTACATAAACTTAATTAGTTATGAATTTATAACATTACATTATAAACATAGTAATCTTACTTACTATTACATTACTTAATTAAACGATTAAAATTTAATTAATTATAACATACTTATATATTTGTAATATGATTACTTAATCATTATAAATTCCATTATAACATAGTATATTAATTAAATGATTTGAAATTTAATTAATTATAATATAAATTATAGATTTGTAGTATGATTACTTAATTCATTATAACATTACATTATACTATTTATAGTATGATCATTAATTAATATAACATTACATAATTAAATAATTACTTAATTGATTATGAGTTATGATTTAATTAAACATTAGTAATTACTAATTTCTACATAAACATTAGCACAATACTAATTAAATGATAAGAAATTTAATAATATAACTTACCTTATAACATTAATTAGCATTACATTATAGTTAAATAATTACTCAATTAAATTATAATATTATTATATTCATTATATATGATACTTACTTAATTATAGTATTTATAGTTAAATGATTACATAATTACTTAATAGTTATGAATTTATAACATTACATTATAAACATTAGTAATCTACTATACTATACATTACTATTAAACGATTAAAAATTTAATAATTATAATATACTTTATATATTGTAATATGATTACTTAATCAATTATAACATTCCATATAAACATTAGTATATTAATTAATGATTTGAAATTAATTAATTATAATATTAAATTATAGATTTGTAGTATGAACTTAATTCATTATAACATTACATTAATGTTATGTATGATCATATTATTAATATAACATTACATAATTAAATAATACTTAATTGATTTAGGTTATGATATTATATTTTAAACATAGTAATATTAATTACTAATACATTAGCACAATACTTATTAAATGATAAGAAATTTTTAATAACCTTACCTTATACATTAATTAAGCATTACATTATAGTTAAATAATTACTCAATTAAATTATAAAATTATATATTACATATTTATAATCACTTACTTAATTATGTATTATATAGTTAAATGATTGCATAATTACTTAATTAGTTATGAATTATACATTACATTATAAACATTAGTAATTATTATACTATTACATTACTTAATTAAATAATTAAAAATTTAATTAATTATAACATTCTTTATATATTTGTAATATGATTACTTAATCAATTAAATATTCCATTATAAACATTGTATATTAATAAATGATTGAAATTTAATTAATATAAATTAAATTATAGATTTGTAGTATGATTACTTAATTCATTATAACATTACATTATACTATTATAGTATGATCTAAATTAATATAACATACTAATTAAATTATTACTTAATTTATTATGACATTATATATAACATAGTAATTTACTAATTTGCACAATATTTAATCGAAATTATAATTTTTAATTTTAACATTATATTATAATTTATGGTATGATTATTAATAATTATAAACATTCTATTATAAACAATATTATAATACTTAATTAAATTATTAACAATTTAATTAATTATAGTATTACATTATAATTAAATAATATATTACTTAATTAATTATAACATTACAATTACATTGTAGTATGATCACTTAATTAATTATAACATTACAATTTACATTGTAGCATGATCACTTATTTAATATAACATTACTTGTTTCTAATATTAAATTTACTAATTATATTTGGATATTATAAATACCCATTAACCAATTATAACATTAAATAATAATTTTAAACATTAATAATATTAACTATTCAAATGACCCCTGGCAAATGGCAAGTAGTAGTATTATTAAGAATTGTTGTTTGTTTAAATGATTTTGGTGAAGTTATTATGTGAATTGTGATGAATAATTGTTGTGTTTTGGTTTTGATTTACGAATTTTATGTGAATGTTGATGAATTGATTGAATTCAAGCGTTGCTTAGAGGTACAGGTTATGAGTTACATTGGACACAAATGAATGAATAACGAAAATTGTGAGGGGTGTATTTGTATAACTTTAAGGTGTCTTTGGTATTTTAAACTAATAGGGGGGTAATTGATTTTTTACAGGGTACCCTTGGAAAAGGAACCGGAACCTGCATTTTAGGTTCCGGTTCCTTGAATTGAAGAACCTGTACTGTGCGGTTCCGGTTCCGGTTCCTTTTTTTGGGAACCTGTACTGTGCGGTTCCGGTTCCGGTTCCCTGGAAAAGTGCAGGGTACCCGGAACCGCTCACCCCTAATGAAAACGTATTAACGTAAGGCAAATGCCCAAACGAGTATGAGATAAATAATAGAAATAAATGAGATAAATATACAATGTATAAATTGTGATAATTTTAGTGGTATAATTGTAAATTGGTGGAAGCCCACCACTTATAACACAAATATTAATTAATGAAGCTTATTTATAATTAAGTACCATATATTTGTGTGCTCTGTGTAAGACTTGCTACATGAGAATTGCTATGTGAGAACAGGGACATGGCCAGAATTCTGAGTCAATGGGTTCAAAATATCAAAATATCAAAATTGATAATAAAATATATACTGAAGTAATAAGCACAAAAATGTAATTTTAAAAGTTATACATACAAAATTATCAATTCTACAATCATCCTCGACGATTTTATATATTCTGAATACGTTGTATAATCCCCAAATCTCTACAATTTAGGGTTTCATCAATTCTTTAAACCATTCAAAATTAACTCAATAACTAACCAAAATTTATCAAACTCAACTTAAAACAATAACTAATTAACCCATATCTCAATATGAACATGATTAAATCAAAACCTACATAAAAAGATAGTAATTTAATCTTCCAATTTCAAACTCATTTATTAAACTCAACAAAAACTCATAATTCATGATATTTCATTAATTAAGAAAGCTAAAATAAAAGAATTTTAAGTAAAAAAATAAAAATAATAAAATGAGCATCATTTTACCTTGTAATCCAAAAGAATAGTATTTCTTGAATATCCAATTAAAAGGAAAAATATAATTTGAAATAACAGAAGAGGGCAAAAAAGAGAAGAGAAAAATTAAAAAAATGTTAATTAATAATTCTTTTGTAAGGTTAAAATAAAGTTAAATAGCGTTAAAATTGTAAAAATTAATAAAATATTAACACTTTTTTTAACTTTTTAAAAGTTGAGTGGATCAGTTGACAGAGTCCTTATGTGACTACCTGAGTGTGTGAGAATGCTGATCTAATAGCTAGCTATTAGTGAGATCATTTAAACAGAAGGGATGCCAAGATCAAAGAAGGTTTGAGAACGGTAGTGCTTTTGTCAAGCATCAAATCAATTAATCGACACTACGAAAAGTAGTACCAATTAAATTGATAACCTTAATGGTTTGAAGCCACCAGAAGGTTTTAGAAAGCCCCCGAACAGTGAGCATTTTCTGATAAATAGAAGCTATCAATTATGAAATGGATATGAAAAAGCCAAAATGCTAATCTGGGAATTTGCCTCTCCTTTCCTCTTTTTCCAAACGTTCATAGCTCTAGTCCTCTTCATCCTCTTCTTTCGAGTAGCTCTTATTTTCTTCTTTATCATCCTCCTCTTTGCCTTCTGTTCAGACGTCGTATACCTCCTCTTGGATCTTCTTTGTCCCGCATGACCACTTCTGAAATTAAACCACCATTATAATATTATCAGGATTCCCAATTCCACCACTAAAACGGTACTTTTCCGGTTCAAAAAATCTTGAACTTATTTGTATCCGTTGTATGCTTGTCAAATTGCAGTAATATTAGATCCAGGCTTCAGAATGTGCTGATTCTCACACCGTTTCATCAGCCTAAAAATTTTCAGCTCTAATTTAATTTTGATTATTAGAAAAATTGGAAACTTAAAATAATGTTCCTATGTTAGATTATTCGTTAATCTCTCGTTTTCGGGTTAGTAAAGTTGGAAGGTTTAGTTGATCTTTCGTTTTCACATAATGTTTCTTTCATAAAATATGTCAGTTTGGGATCCTAATTAATCTTGTAAAATCTTTTTTGTATTATTTTATTTCACAAAAATTATGCTACATGTTTTCTGAAACGCGTTTTGAGGACATAAATAACCAAAAAAACAAAAAAAAATATTAAAATAATTAATATTTTTTTTAAGAAATTCTTGACGGGAATGGAGAGTAGAATATTATTATCTTGTTCGAGAAGACTGTGAACAGTAGAAAGAAACAGAATCCATCTAGAAAAGCCGAGTCGAATTAATCAAATCGAATGGCATTAACAATCCCACAACAGAGATTAATTAGATTCCTGGTAACTGGGAACAAGTGGAGCGTGAGAGATGCTTTTTGTACTGATAGACTCGCCATTTTCTCTCGTTATCACTCTTATTCTCTTCATCGTCCTCATTCGCTACGCTTTACCAATTTTCTTTCTCATCCTTCTCTTTGTTATATGCTCAGACTTCGTTCTCCTCCTCTCCGCTCCATGACCACTGCACTTTCAGACCCACCTCAATCTCCCCCCACCAAAACGGTGCGTATCGATTTTTCTACCTTTTCCTATGATTTTATTATCATTTTCAATGCTTCTATTGCTGTCTGTCTCTTTATTTTCTAATTTTATCAATTGGGGTCTTTCTTGATAGGGGTTTAACTCTAAATTTAATTTAAGATTATTTGAATTGCTAAAGTTTTGGTTTTTTTCTATGTAATTTTTGATAATCGATAGTAGCTCTTGTCCTTTGTTGTAATATTATTGTTTTGTACATAAGCTATGTGTAAGTGATGTATTTACATTTTTTTTTTTTCTGAAGTGCAGGTGAGGGTTGTGGTGAAAGGGAGGGTTCAGGGTGTGTTTTATAGGAACTGGACTATAGAGAATGCCACACAATTAGGGTTGAAAGGCTGGGTGAGGAACAGGAGGGATGGTTCTGTAGAAGCTCTGTTTTCAGGCAAACCTGATTCTGTTCAAGAGATGGAGCAGAGGTGCCGCCGTGGCCCATCCGATGCACTTGTTACAGCACTTGAGGTGTTTCCGAGCAGTGACAATCCTGGTACTGGGTTTGAGCGTAAACCAACTGTTTGATCAATCAACGTGAAGAGATTAGTACCCATTTCTAATTTGGTCATGTATAGTTCTTTTATCTATATAAGCTATCCTTAAAACTCTATATAGGATTGAGTTATATCTGATGTACTTTGATCACTATTTCTACTACTTGATGTCTAGTTGCATAATTGATATGAAACTCAGTTCTTGAATATGATTGCAATGTTGTTTGCTTGGTGAAAACTTTGTCAATTAAGCTTCCAAATAGCTAGAAATAAATTCAAACCAAAGATTTGCTTGCCAAATGCAACTCTTGTAAACCAAACTAATGATTTTTCCATAAGAATACGCAGGCATTGGATGAGGATTTGAAGAATATGCAAAATATATCACTCTTTTGGTTATCAGACCGATTAAAAGAGTTTATGCTCGCATGCTACAATATTAACTCCAGCCTAGAGACTTGTTTTTGCATGAGATGATTTTACCACTAGAAATTTTGAAGAATTTTTAGTTATTAGCACTTGGTGAAATGAGGCGTTGCTTTTACCACAAGAAGTTTAATAGGAGAAGCTCAATTGAAATTTGAACATTGGCTTTACTATAGGTAATACATCAATAATTAGGTGAAAGTTAAGCAGCTTGTGGTGCGTTGTTATGTGGAGTTGAATGAAGTGATATGTGGGTTTTTATTTTTGAGTCAATATGGGATCAAACAGTGGATTTCTTTGGTTTAATTGGTTTCTGGGGCTATATGTTTGAATGCCGAATCAGTTGATGATTAAGGTTGAGCAGTATCTGGATAAAGCTTATATGGATGACGCTCTTAAGGATTGTTTTGTTTTTAAAATACACATCACATAATTCTCCATTGCTGACTGTGCAACCCCATTATTGTTTAGATCCTAATTCAGATACACGCAGGCACTCTCTCTCTGTATGTGTGTCTAATATTTTGGTTTTGACAATTATGATTCATTAGATAGCATGATTTAATTGTTTATCAACCAGTGCCAATAATGATGCAAACTCTTTAAATGCCTAAGAGGCATTGAATCATGTACGGTTTCTAATTTCCTTTATCAGCTTTTGTGTTTATCATGATTCATCAACAGGGCTCTTCTTTTTGGTTTTTGCTTCTGTTTGATATCAACAGGTATGGGCTAATATGTTTTTATTAGTTCTAACCAATTGAGGGGCCATGGCCGCTACAAATTATGCTCTTTCTTTATGTTGAGGTTGAAGGTAGCTGTTGAGGACTCACATTATCAGCCCTTAAATTGCTTTGCGGTATGGAAGGTGGGCTTGAAAGATGGACAAATGTTTTTTTTACCTGGCAGTTGCATGTGCTTCTTCAACTCACTGTCTGTACAAGAAATGGTATGTATTTGGGTCACCCGTTAATTAGAAGATGCTGGGGTTGCTTCGTTCTAGGAATAGTAACTTCTTTTCATGGACTGTTGAGTGATAGGAAATAAACCAAACAGCCAATCTATTCTTGGGATGAGTGTCGAACGTGTGGATAGTGTCATGTCAGTTTGTCAACCATGGAAGCTTAAAACTCCACAAAATAACTGATTTTAGCCAGGTCCTTCCTGTTGGTTTCTCCTTATGCTGATTTTCATTTTTAATCTTGTAGTAGTGGCAACATGAGTGATCTTGCCTTTTAGATAAACTTTTCAGAGAATATTCAGTGTTCATGTTTCGTATAAGATCCAGTGAGTTTCAGTCAAATGCCTCTTTAGTTGTTTTATTTTGGGCATTATTCTGGTCTCTGCTCTAAGATCGTTCGTCCTGTAACTTGCCAGCTTCCTTTCACATTTAATGGTCCATACATCTATCTTTGTAATTTACCCACCAAACACCGTTAAATGTTTCTATATTCAATGAACCTAAACATGGCATAAGCTTCTTCCGTTATGTTCAGCTGCTACTATATTTGAATTTCATTAAAGGTTCTTCCCATATAAAAATAAATAAAAATCAGTATAGGATCTTAAAATGTTGATAAAGATGTAAAGTACACTTAAAACAACCAGCTATGTCTATTCAAATATGAGAAAGTGTACATATAGGTACCATGTTACTGTGTCTTTCTTTTCATTTTTCTTGCATAGTTTGTACTCAAACTGAATTCTTAGGATCTTCATTATCTGCTGGCTTGTTATCACATGGAGGAGAGGTATAGTTTTGTTTTCTAGTGGTCCAAAGTGCATGTGAGTTGGAACCCTTCTGATAATTGACATCAGATTGAAGATGCAGCTCTCATGGTGTGCCATGTTGAAGAAGGTGTAGTCATGAATCACTGGACTGAGATAGAAACTCTGAAAGTGATGGATCAAAGTTACATTCAGTAGAATATGGTGCAAAGACATGCGGTTGTCTGACTAACTTGTTTCAGAAATTTGGTCATGCCTTTTCTTCTTTAGCATTTCCTCCATCTCTGTAAAAATTAGAGTCTGCAGGGTGATTTAAGCAAGAAAAAAACTTAGTAATCTCTCATTGAGCTTATCTAGTTGTTGCTTAACCAAAGATAGTGAGCATGAGAAGAGCTTTGATGATGCTGAGGTTTGTTAGGAAGATACTAATGACAGTTCTCCTTAAATTGCTTAGGATATCTAAATATTTTGTGACTGCTGTTGCTGGTGATGATGATTTGGGTTTGATAGGAACCCACTCCCAAATTAATAAGAATTGGGCTGGGCAGTGGGCCTTTGATAAGAATTGGGTTGGGCACAATTGGGGTCTTTCTTGATAGGGGTTTAACTCTAAATTTAATTTAAGATTATTTGAATTGCTAAAGTTTTGGTTTTTTTCTATGTAATTTTTGATAATCGATAGTAGCTCTTGTCCTTTGTTGTAATATTATTGTTTTGTACATAAGCTATGTGTAAGTGATGTATTTACATTTTTTTTTTTTCTGAAGTGCAGGTGAGGGTTGTGGTGAAAGGGAGGGTTCAGGGTGTGTTTTATAGGAACTGGACTATAGAGAATGCCACACAATTAGGGTTGAAAGGCTGGGTGAGGAACAGGAGGGATGGTTCTGTAGAAGCTCTGTTTTCAGGCAAACCTGATTCTGTTCAAGAGATGGAGCAGAGGTGCCGCCGTGGCCCATCCGATGCACTTGTTACAGCACTTGAGGTGTTTCCGAGCAGTGACAATCCTGGTACTGGGTTTGAGCGTAAACCAACTGTTTGATCAATCAACGTGAAGAGATTAGTACCCATTTCTAATTTGGTCATGTATAGTTCTTTTATCTATATAAGCTATCCTTAAAACTCTATATAGGATTGAGTTATATCTGATGTACTTTGATCACTATTTCTACTACTGGATTTCTACTTGCATAATTGATATGAAACCCAGTTCTTGAATATGATTGCAATGTTGTTTGCTTGGTGAAAACTTTGTCAATTAAGCTTCCAAATAGCTAGAAATAAATTCAAACCAAAGATTTGCTTGCCAAATGCAACTCTTGTAAACCAACCTAATGATTTTTCCATAAGAATACACAGGCATTGGATGAGGATTTGAAGAATATGCAAAATATATCACTCTTTTGGTTATCAGACCGATTAAAAGAGTTTATGCTTGCATGCTACAATATTAACTCCAGCCCAGAGACTTGTTTATGCATGAGATGATTTTACCACTAGAAATTTTGAAGAATTTTTAGTTATTAGCACTTGGTGAAATGAGGCGTTGCTTTTACCACAAGAAGTTTAATAGGAGAAGCTCAATTGAAATTTGAACATTGGCTTTACTATAGGTAATACATCAATAATTAGGTGAAAGTTAAGCAGCTTGTGGTGCGTTGTTATGTGGAGTTGAATGAAGTGATATGTGGGTTTTTATTTTTGAGTCAATATGGGATCAAACAGTGGATTTCTTTGGTTTAATTGGTTTCTGGGGCTATATGTTTGAATGCCGAATCAGTTGATGATTAAGGTTGAGCAGTATCTGGATAAAGCTTATATGGATGACGCTCTTAAGGATTGTTTTGTTTTTAAAATACACATCACATAATTCTCCATTGCTGACTGTGCAACCCCATTATTGTTTAGATCCTAATTCAGATACACGCAGGCACTCTCTCTCTGTATGTGTGTCTAATATTTTGGTTTTGACAATTATGATTCATTAGATAGCATGATTTAATTGTTTATCAACCAGTGCCAATAATGATGCAAACTCTTTAAATGCCTAAGAGGCATTGAATCATGTACGGTTTCTAATTTCCTTTATCAGCTTTTGTGTTTATCATGATTCATCAACAGGGCTCTTCTTTTTGGTTTTTGCTTCTGTTTGATATCAACAGGTATGGGCTAATATGTTTTTATTAGTTCTAACCAATTGAGGGGCCATGGCCGCTACAAATTATGCTCTTTCTTTATGTTGAGGTTGAAGGTAGCTGTTGAGGACTCACATTATCAGCCCTTAAATTGCTTTGCGGTATGGAAGGTGGGCTTGAAAGATGGACAAATGTTTTTTTTACCTGGCAGTTGCATGTGCTTCTTCAACTCACTGTCTGTACAAGAAATGGTATGTATTTGGGTCACCCGTTAATTAGAAGATGCTGGGGTTGCTTCGTTCTAGGAATAGTAACTTCTTTTCATGGACTGTTGAGTGATAGGAAATAAACCAAACAGCCAATCTATTCTTGGGATGAGTGTCGAACGTGTGGATAGTGTCATGTCAGTTTGTCAACCATGGAAGCTTAAAACTCCACAAAATAACTGATTTTAGCCAGGTCCTTCCTGTTGGTTTCTCCTTATGCTGATTTTCATTTTTAATCTTGTAGTAGTGGCAACATGAGTGATCTTGCCTTTTAGATAAACTTTTCAGAGAATATTCAGTGTTCATGTTTCGTATAAGATCCAGTGAGTTTCAGTCAAATGCCTCTTTAGTTGTTTTATTTTGGGCATTATTCTGGTCTCTGCTCTAAGATCGTTCGTCCTGTAACTTGCCAGCTTCCTTTCACATTTAATGGTCCATACATCTATCTTTGTAATTTACCCACCAAACACCGTTAAATGTTTCTATATTCAATGAACCTAAACATGGCATAAGCTTCTTCCGTTATGTTCAGCTGCTACTATATTTGAATTTCATTAAAGGTTCTTCCCATATAAAAATAAATAAAAATCAGTATAGGATCTTAAAATGTTGATAAAGATGTAAAGTACACTTAAAACAACCAGCTATGTCTATTCAAATATGAGAAAGTGTACATATAGGTACCATGTTACTGTGTCTTTCTTTTCATTTTTCTTGCATAGTTTGTACTCAAACTGAATTCTTAGGATCTTCATTATCTGCTGGCTTGTTATCACATGGAGGAGAGGTATAGTTTTGTTTTCTAGTGGTCCAAAGTGCATGTGAGTTGGAACCCTTCTGATAATTGACATCAGATTGAAGATGCAGCTCTCATGGTGTGCCATGTTGAAGAAGGTGTAGTCATGAATCACTGGACTGAGATAGAAACTCTGAAAGTGATGGATCAAAGTTACATTCAGTAGAATATGGTGCAAAGACATGCGGTTGTCTGACTAACTTGTTTCAGAAATTTGGTCATGCCTTTTCTTCTTTAGCATTTCCTCCATCTCTGTAAAAATTAGAGTCTGCAGGGTGATTTAAGCAAGAAAAAAACTTAGTAATCTCTCATTGAGCTTATCTAGTTGTTGCTTAACCAAAGATAGTGAGCATGAGAAGAGCTTTGATGATGCTGAGGTTTGTTAGGAAGATACTAATGACAGTTCTCCTTAAATTGCTTAGGATATCTAAATATTTTGTGACTGCTGTTGCTGGTGATGATGATTTGGGTTTGATAGGAACCCACTCCCAAATTAATAAGAATTGGGCTGGGCAGTGGGCCTTTGATAAGAATTGGGTTGGGCAATGATCCTTTCGTGGGCTTGGGTAGAACTTTCCTTGGAAACCCAGTTTGCCAAGGGAGGGTGTCCAAGGTTTTTATAAACCACATGCAGACCCTTTTTCCCTCTCAATGTGGGGTTCTTACAGGGTCCATCATTGGGGGTTTTCCGGGGGACGTGAAGGAGGGGCATTTTGCAGTTCACACCATCGATGACAATGAGCTGCAAAGTTTCATCATTGAACTGGATTATCTAGCTCACCCTGGGTTCTTGAAGTTATTAAGCTGGCTGAGGAGGAATTTGGGTTTAAACAAGCAGGAGTTCTTGCCATCCCTTGCCGGCCCAGTGATCTCCTGAGGAGTCTTGAAAACAAGGAGAGATAGGATTGATGTGATAGAATCATGTATTTAAGTAGCTAGATAGTCAATAATTTGCAGTTTATTTTAACCTTCTTTCAAGTATGTTAAGTTGTGCTAGCTTCATCATGGTTATTTGAAGTGTTGCTGTTGAATATTTATCTATTGTAAAAGATTTGTAGAATGATGATTTGTAATCGTATGTAGTTGTGATGTGATATGAAAAGTACCAAGTTGGATATGAAATTAATACCGTCATGGTAGTAATATCTGGCTTCTGTTGTCTATGGTTCCTGGTCTTTACTTCCTGATAATTTTATGGAAAGCAAGGTCCTCATGTAGATACCATTTTCAGCTATTAACCGCATAAAGTAGTTGTAGATTAATACATCACATGCAATCAAACACATAGCTAGATGGTAGGACAATGCATCCACATGCATGGTCCCTACTCACAGTCCTATCGCATTTGTACAATTCAAGACTATCATCCATATGCAGTCTTAAGACATAGGGCTAGTAATTTGTTATTCATCTACCAAAACGATATGAACGTGACAATAATTAATGGGCAAGGATTGATAGTAGCAATCCATATAACCTGTTTAATAAATGTTCATATTGTCTTGTCCTTTTAGAGACAGTAGATTCGATTAGTGTAGTTGTAGGCGTTAGAATCAAATTAATAGGAGGCTTAAACCTTATAGGTTCGAGAGACTTTACCAATGAACTTCACGGGTAAGTATGAGATTATCATATGATTATCAGACTATCATACTATGTTTTAACTTTTCAGCATCCAGGACAATGAAGATTCAGGTTCATTTTCTCTATCATCTTAAGGCAAGGACTTCCTGTGCAACACTTGCACTCTGTCAGCGTTTCAGCAGGACTCAAGTTTACTTTGGGCGGGAAGTATTGTCCACAACCTTGATTCATTCTGACAATTAAGCTAAACTCAAAAGAGTTTCAGTCTGCGAAACATGAAAAAAGTAAGTGTTCATCTTAACTTTAGAACCAAATCTTAAACTCCAGGCAACAAACATGGTACTCGATGGATATTTCTTATAGAAAGTGCTTGCATTACTTCTCTGAAAAAACTCCTTTACTGAAAAGTGTTTTTTCATAAAAATACCTTCAAGGCACTTTAGTACCTATACAGTACCACCATAAGCTACTTGTTACTATCTTCTGAATGTGTGATGGAAGAGTAGATGTTGTTTTATCATTCGTACTTTTTGTCATGTCATCCGTATAGAGTGCTTTTGTAGACCCCATGTTTGCAGCTATTATCAAGTGCAATAACACAATTGAGCCAGAAGTAGAGTGGAGTGACGGTTGATGAAAATCACATGTAAGGGTCCCACGATTAATCACTTTTTCAGTATTTTGATTTTCATTTCATCTGCCATCTTGTTTCAAACTCAAGATGCCTATATATATACCTCCATTTCTTGTAGAAGAATTTGATTATAGAGGTTGTGAATAGCTTAGCAGTGTTCTGAACAATGGCTAAGTCTAGGAAATTTGCAGGTTTGAGGAAAGGAAGCATTGAAATGCTGAAGTTTTTTTTGCAGAAAAGCTGCTGACTAGTCTCCCTTTACTCAAGTTGAAGGAAGGTCACTTTGTGGTAATTGCAACTGAAGGTTGGGAACCGAAAAGGTTTGTCATCCAACTGGGTTATCTCAATAATCCGGAATTCTTGAAGTTGTTGAAGCAAGCTGAAGAAGAATTCAGGTTTTCTCAAGAGGGAGCTCTGGCAATTCCTTGTCATCCAGACAAACTGCAGCAAATTCTGAGTGTAAGGAAAATCTGATGGACAGTGGCTATGTAACGAAATAACGCAACTGCACTTATGGTCTCTTAGGCTTATCTTCATTTTGTGCCATTCTTAGATTTTCCATTTGTAGTTTACTTTCTACAAATTTGGTTGTCATGATCGTTTTAATTTGTAGTTTGATATCTACAAATTTGGTTAAAGTGAGCTAGCCTTTTTCATTTGTAGTTTGTTGTCTACAGATTTGGTGGCAGTAGTTCACTGATTCCAGGATTAAAAAGAGAAACCTTGGAATCACTTCATGGAAGAATAGAATTTAATATTTTTAGTACTCTTGGTTCTGTATTCTGGATGAAATACTAATTGGGGCATATTGTAAGTTAAACATGTGATGAAAACGGGCAAAGGGCAATCATGTTGCCTAAATGGCTAAAGATGAAGGCTTTAAAAAGCTACTCTGTTGCTGCTAATTCTCCATTAAAAACAAGAAGCTTGAATTAACATTGCCTCATAATATATTTTCTAGGAAATGTAGCTAAAAGAATGTAAGACAAATGAAAGTACTGATACAATGATTTCCTTACATGGTTATATCATATTTCAAGACCAGTGATCTCTGGCTTCTGAAGAACTAGAATTATCAGTAATTTTCTTTCCTTTCCTATTTACTTCCAGGGAAATGAAACGTGAAGCAAAACTACCTCATGTTATTTTTCCCATATGGTCCTTGCTTCCAATTGGCACTCAAGATTGTAACTTCATGCGATGATTAATTGTGCATAGCATGAAGAGGACCCTTCTTGAATAGCATCTGATAGAAATAATCTCGTAAATTATAATGACAATGACTCCAAACCATCTTCTTCAATTAAAGTCCTGAAAAGCCATACCTATTAATTGTGAATGATCATTAATAATTAGACAATCACTCATTTACAAATAAAAAATTTCCAAAATTTGCAATTATTCATTCGTGATCAAAACTCTGGCCAAATTATGTTGAAGTCAATGCCACTATCTCAACTCAGGAATTTGGCAGATGTAGTTTCAATATTTTCGTTTCATACTGCTAATCGAGATAAGTTAAACATGAAAACTACCGTGGTTCTTTATGAAGCTTGGATGCAGTAACTTGTATCTCTTTCATTTCAATATTATGATCACAGACACTGATCACATGGATTGGTCCCAACCCTCTTAAATATGCGTCTGAATTGTTATCCACCTATCTCACACTTCTACTACCAAAATTATGCAAAATATAGTATACGACAGTGTCCTTCACCTGCAATTTGTAAAGGATGTTTCGCTCAGTAGAGAGCATGAAGCATCAAGCGAAAATTATATATAAAAATGTTGATTATTCTCCAGCCATAAAGAATAAGTGTGATACATGTTTCTGATGTTAATTCTGGTGATGGCAACAATAATATGAAGATATGGTAACACTAACAGTGTCATTGTTTTGCAATGAAAGAATGTGGTATAAACACTATGTTAAGCCTAAATTACAAACGGTATATTGTATATTATATGAGCAGAGTCAGGATTACTTGGTCGCAATGGAAATTTAATCGCTATATTAATTGTTGTCTTCATTTCGCATGTAAAAAATGAAAAACCCTGAAAACAAAGTGCACAAACAGTTCCATTGTAGTAGTAGAATTAATTAAAGGGGCAACAAAGAGCTGGAGAAAGACCAACAGGGATCTAGCATGGGCGATCTAATCTTATCATGGCATTTATATCAGTGTTTTGTAGTCACTTTGATTGCGATTGATAGAAGGAAAATATCATCAGAAATAAATGATAGATGCTGTAACCATCCTAATCAAAGAAATAAACAGCTGAACACACAATCACAAGAAATCAAGAACAATCACAACACGAATTTTTACCGTGGTTTACTTATCCAAATTAGATAAGTTATGTCTACGTTGAGCTCCGGAAATGAGAGAGTTACTACACTATTTATTAGATCAAGATCCAAACAAGAACAAGTACAAACAAGATCAAACTCTTACCAATTTACACAAAAATCTCTCAGTAACTAACCCTAGAGAAACACATCAGGAATCCCTAAGAACAAGAGCTGAAGCTCTTCTGATTGACTAACTAATTACCCAATCAACTCAAGTTACAAAGATTTCTAGAAATCAAATAAACCCTAAATTGAGAGCAAACGGATTCTTTCAACAGAGGCAAAAGATGTTAAAGAAAGAATTTTGACTGTTCATACACTTATATACTGTTGACCCCTTGACGATTCTCAGTTGTTCAACCTGAGTTGGATCAACGATCAGGATCCAACTCAGGTTAACTCAAAACGCAGCGTTTCATTAATTCCCAAAGTGACATCGTTTAAGTCTTCACTTCAACAATAGAGATAGAAAATAAAAGACAAACAAGCATCTGAAATTGGCCCTATCTTATCCTATCGCAAACTATATTAGAAATTTACTTAATTTTAGAGCAATATCTGTCATATTTCATGATCAACTCATATTTATAGCGTGAAATCTGTAGACAGTAAAATCTATGGTTATGGAAGTGACGGATCCTGTGAGGTTGAGGTCAACCGTAGGCACTCTGATACTCAAGTCAATAAGACATCAGAGTTTAGAAAGACAAAGGGAGGGCAAGAACTTTAGAAGCAAGTAAGTGATATTGGGATTGAATTAATAATTAAAGGACATACCTCTGTTTATATAGTAAGCCAAAAAGCTTGAATCATAGTAGGACTCTGAGTCCTACATGGGGTAGGAGTTTGAATTAGGAAGGAACTTGTGTTACTTGCCTTTATCAGTTTAGGATTATCAATTCATATAAGATTCGAGATCTAAGATGAATTAGGAAGTTGATAAGACTTTATACCTCATTTTGAAGTGAGAAGCAGCTAATGGGCTAGAGCCTAAATGGGTATGTGATAAGGCCCAATTCACGAAGTGGCCTTAGTCGTAGAGCAATCCAATCTTTAAAATGAGCTAACTCATAAAAAGGCATGAGCCCAATTGGGATTGGGTCATGGCACAAGGCCATGCATTGGGGATTGGGTCATGACACCAGGCCATGCGTTGTTTATTGTGTTTGGGCCTAGCAAGATCCGTTACGATTCGTGTTTAGGCCTATAAAGCCTGTTACGATTTTTGGCCCATGCAAAATCTCTAGTCAAGTCTTTAGTGTGCTTTATTTATTCTTTTCATTTTCTTGATATGAAGGGCTTTTAATTGAAAGTTGGTTTTGAGTGGTTCTTATGGTCATGTTTCATGTCTATAATCCAACTATAATGAAACAATTTCATCTCCTTTCATATTTTTATTTCAAAGTTTTATATTATAAAAAATTAAAAGTAAATTTCAATCAATAAACATTTACAATAAAGCATGAGATCAAATCAATCGATTTTGTCAAAAACTTTGCAATCAGGTAATCACTTTTAAATCTATCTTGAAAGAAGAAACATTTTGTTTCATTCCCACTAAAAATAAGGGAGAGTGACATTTTCTCACCCTTCAAGTTTCAAAATGACACTTTCCCACCATTCGTTAGGTTTTGTTACGTTTTTTATTAATATTTTATTGAGAAGACGAAAACACTCTTAAATACTTGACTTTATGAATTTTTTATTATTTTTTAATTAGCCAAAAAGTTAAATATTAAAAAGTAAAAAAATAAAAAATAGTTAGCCTCACCTAAAAGGCTTAGAGTAATGCTATGAAATTATTTAAAGTTAAATGACCTTAATATTTATTTATTTATAATGTCATCAATATCCCATCACTATTATTTAATAATCTATTAAATTTATATTTTTTTTTCATTTTTACTAGTTAACATAGAAAATTAATATTCCTAATTAATTAAATAAACAAAGGAAAAAAAATAATATATTTACACTTGAACTAATAAATAATCGAGTTAAGATTTTGACTTAACTAAATTTTAATTTATAATAAACTATTTAAGAGTATTTTCATTTTTTTTCAATCAAATATTAATAGAAAATACTAACAAAATCTAACGAAATGTGAAAAAGTGTCATTTTGAAACTTGATAGGTGGAAAGTGTCGTTTTGCCAAACCTTGGGTGGGAAAATGTCGTTCTCCCAAAACAAAGCACCAAAGTATCACAAATTCTCATTGAGGAAATTTGTTATACCCACACCTCAAAACTAGTAATCAATTCTTAATCCCATCATGACAAAAGAAAATTTGACTTTATTCTCATTTAAACAAAACACCTGGAATCACAAATTCTCATTAAGAAAATTTGTGATACCTGCTTTATTAATTTTGTCTTATGCTTTCTTATTTATTTATATTGATTTAAATTTATATTTAATTTTAATAACTACCAATATGAAGCTTTAAAGTAAATTTATGAAAGAAGAATTATTTTTTTTATTGCAATATATCCCCAACTTAAACTTGAATATGGGAGGGAATGACCAAAATAATGGAAATGGAATATAAAAATCACTGCCTTATAAAATATCTAAATAAATTCAATGCAGAAATCCCTTTCGCACTAGCCGACACTTTACAAAAAGTAATATTAGTCAACTCAAGAACAGGGTGGGGAATCCCTCTTTAATTATCCATCTATGAAGGTTCTACTTCACTGTGCTATTACCCCTTTCAGCCTTTAATGCATTCAACTTCACCTTAACTTCTTAACAAACAGTGACCTATGGGGTTACATCATCATCTTTATACAATCTCTACATTTATGAACATCAAATAATTATTAATTCTGATAATGGTTAAATAACATCAGCTTTCTTTTAGTTGCCGGCAAGTCGGTAGTGCAGTGGTACTCTTTACCGCGTTCAATAATACAGTGGAAAACAGTTAAATTCGACCCATCAAATTCATTTAATGATTTGTTGTTACAACAAAGAACAATAATAAATTGTTTCCACTTTCCGCACTGCTGACTCGTTGAAAGTCTTGAGAGATTTTTCAGGAAATACGCTTCTCTACCCAGTATAAATTACCCACAGGCTCCCCAGAAAGAATTGCAGCTTCGAATAATGTCTATCAAGATCAACAATAACCGCGAAGGAAGTAATAGACGGCGGATGATGATGATGAGGCTTTTGTTAAAAAAGTTGCAAAAGCGTCTTCCATTCTTAGCCCCCAGAAAACCTGATCTAAGCGGCAATATTGAGTTTGTTCCTGATGATGTAAAGGAAGGTCATTTTGTTGTTTTTGCGGTTAAGGGTGAGGAAACACAAAGGTTCGTGGTTGAATTAGGCTACTTAAGCAACCCTGCATTCTTGAGGTTACTGCAGCAGGCTGAGGAGGAATACGGATTCGAGCAAAAGGGAGCGATTACAGTCCCATGTTTACCTCAGGAATTGCAAGAAATTCTTGAAAACCGATGCCAGATTAATCTTCCTGGTCGTGGAAACTGGGCTACATGTAATTCCGGCATCATACAGAGTTACTAGCAAGGAGAGTTAATTCATGCTTTTACTTGTTTTTCTATTCTTTGTAGATCGCCCATGGCCACTCTATATGTAGTTTAGATAGATCTTGCTCTATGTTTTTGACTTGTACTGCTCGTTATAACTCACAAACTGTATGCATGCATAAATATATATAACATATATGGTAAGTCACAAGATCAATGATATCAGATTTACCTCATCTCGATCAGTACTAAATTTATCATTTTCGTATTCTTGATTCTGGTATAATTCATCTGATAGAATAGCCTTACTTAGTTAGGCGTCTTCCACTTTTGATATTGGTATCTTTGGATCAAAATCCTCAAGAAGATCTCGATTATATATGAGCAAAAGACAAGCTTGTGATGGAACTGAAGTTGATAAAAATGATTTAAAAAAAAAAAAAATGTATAAAATAAATCTCAATCCAAACATGTGTTATGGATTTGTAAAAATTCAAGAGGATTCGTATCAGAAAGGATGCTAATACAATATCTTCAATCATGAATATGCACATTATCCCACTTGTTTGTAATTGATAAGTAGATCAAACTATTGGAAGACAAAACAATTTTCGCTAATTATCAAAAATTTCGACTGAGTAATGTTACAGCTCTCTTGAGAAATTAAGATTCAGCAACAACAACTCGTATGTTTTTGTTTGTAAATATTTGTTGTGTGGTAAATTCTTGAGATACGGATTCACGTCACGTGTCAGTCTTTTTAGGTTAACTTTATTTACAAGTTTGTTGTAAAAGCATATAAACAAATTTTTTTACTCAAATTAGGGATCTGAAAAAATACACTTTGTAAGCCACATTTGTGTACAGTAAAAATAAAGAAATTAATAATACAAAAATAGTGGTGGTAGAATTGACATTAAGTATCCAAACTACTTTAAAAATTGTTTTTCTTATGTGAATGCTAATTTTCATTTGTGTTTATCATCCATCCGTTGATTCAGCATCAAATCTTTGGGTTTCATACAAACTCTTGCATAGATTCATCCTTACGTACTTTTTGTTAGTGTAAATCGGTGCATCAACAATATTGCTAGAAAATCATTGATATAAAACAATCTCAGATGGCAATGCCATGGGCAAATTAATCCAATAATGGATCAGTAACAATTTCAGACAATTTTATTTTACCAAAATAATGTTCACACACCGCTCTTTTCAGAATTCTTCTGAATAGTTAATAGCACCCAGCTGTCCTACTGTAGCCACGGGATTGAGATCAGACGCGTTACAGATATAAAAGATTTACAATCAAAATTCTGAAAGGTAAATACGGGAGAAGGACATTTTCCCACCCAAGGTTTTGGCAAAATGACACTTTCCCACTCTTCGAGTTTCAAAAGGACGTTTTTCCACCATTCGTTAGATTCTATTATGTTTTCAGTTAATATTTTACTGAAAAGGCAAAAATATATTTTTAATTAGCCAAAAAGTCAAATATTAAAAAGTAAAAAATAATAATAATTAGCCCACCTAAAAAATTAGAAGTAATGGTATAAAATTATTTAAAGTTAAATGACCTTAATATTTATTTATTTATACTGTTATTAATATCACATCACTATTATTTAATAGTCTACTAAATTTATAATATTTTTTATACTATAATGTTTTTATTTTTACTAATTAACATAGAAAATCAATATTCTTAATTAATTAAATAAACAAAGGAAAAAAAATATCTTTACACTTAAACTAATAAATAATTCAGTAAAGAATATAATTTAACTAAATTTTAATTTATAATAAACTATTTAAAGATTTTTTTTAATTAAATATTAATAGAAAATACTAACGGAACTTGACAAGGGGTGAAAAAAGTGTCATTTTTAAACTTAACGAGTGGAAAAGTATAGTTTCGCCAAACCTTGGGTGGGAAAATGTCGTTCTCCCTATAAATACCTCATTAATTACTTACGCGTTTGACAATTAATTCTTGAAAAAAAAAAAAATGGCATAAGAACGTCTAACACTAATTAAACTCAGCAAAATAAAGCTTTAAATTTGCTTTGGTTTCAAAGGAATCATATCACTTTTTTTAGAAATCAATAGGCTATATATAATTAAAGTACTTGAATCATGAGAAAATCTTTCAATAGATGGTTTTAGCCAAAACTATTCAGACGCGGTTTGCACACTGTACTGTTTGGTGAAGAAGAATATGCAGACAAGTGGCGAAGGATAAGCCGAGTGTTCCAAGAAAGTTGCTTCTAGCTACCTGGCAAACGGGCGGGTGGGGCGGGTATGGTTCAGGTAGCAACGGATTGCGGGTGAAACGGGTTACGGGTTAACGGGTGGAAACTTCTCACGGGTTGATATTTTCATGATCCGTACCTGCTCGTGTTGGCACGGGTCACCCGTGAAAATGGAAACAGTCTTTTACATTTTTAATATTTTTTTATTGTTTTCCATATTAAACTTATTAGTTATTAACTTATTATATTAAATAAATGGATGATTAAATTAAATTTGATTAGATTTCACCAACATTATTAATTCAATATTAATATTTTTCATATTTATATCAAACTCCACCATATAGATAATAGAATTAATAAACACTAAACATATATAGTAATTACTAATTAGTAAACACTAAACATATAAAATTGTTTAACATTCAACATACATAACATAGTAAACACTAAACAATTAAACATATATAATTGTTTAACCAAAGTACCAAACACACTAAACAAACAAAGCCGCCCTTGATTATGCAATCTCCTTCCTCCGCACTTGACTTAATGGCACAAGCAGCTGAACATCATCAATTTCATCTTCTACAATTAACAAGATATAAGTTAACTATCGTAATATATTAACAAACAAAAATATTAAAACATATGAAATATAAGTTAAAATGTTACCTTTAACTTCATATCTAGAAATCCATGTCCTGGTGCATATCAAAGACTCTGCGTTCTCCGGTAAAAGTGAACTTCGATATTTACTGAGCACTTTGCTACCAATACTGAAACTGGATTCCGAAGCAACAGTCGTTATTGGTATACTCATCACATCACGGGCCATCATCGAAAGTATCGGATATCGATCACTATTTTTCTTCCAATGGTCTAGGATATTCAAATTACAAAATTTGATGCGATCAAACCTTGCCTCTTCCAAATAAGTATCCAATTCGGACTTCTTAGTAGCATTAAAGTCACTCTTATAATAGTCAAATTTCTACACTATTTAAATATTTAAATTTAATAAAACAAAATTACAAAATAAAGAAAACTTTATTAATCACAACAATATAAAAATATTTATAATTCACGTGAAATTTATTGATTCGAAAAGATTCTTTTTTAAAGATCTCAAATGTACTGTACAAGTACAAGAGCGCATATCCATGAGTTGGTCCTGCCTTTATTATATCCTAACCCCTTTTATCATAATGGGCAAAGGCTAAAGATATTTCCAAGCATGGAGGGTGTATTCGGAATTTCTGAAAAGAACCTGTCAAGAAGATTACAATAAAAACCAGTTGTGACACCCTTTTCGCTTTCCTGTTCAAAAAGTAAATTTCGAAGTCTCTAGAATCAGAAACCTGAGTCCTCACCACGTATATATCTCACTCCAATTCAAACCCTCTCTCACTCAACACGTATAGTCATATTCTTGTATTCGAGTTTGAGAGCGGATTTGGATAGGAGCTCCGGGGACCTGTCGGATCTTTCCATTAATTTCTCCAATTTCGATCGGCGATCTCCTGAATTCTGATTGAAAGTTCGTCATTCAAAAGAGTTTATTATAATTTTAGTTAGTTTGATTTTCTCTCCTTTCTTCTATATGAATTGTTGATTATTTTAGGTAATGTGTTATAAAAAGATGCAGGTTTTGCTTTGATTTTTGATAAGTTAATTAACTTAGATTAAGAGGCTAAGTTCTGTTTTGTTTGGTTACCTAGAAACATGACAGGAAGGAGCTGCTGTGAGAGTGAGAGAGTGAGGGAGTGGAGCTGCTGTGAGAGGACTGAGGAGTGGTCATGGAGCTGCTGTGGCTGTGAGAGAAGAGAATGAGCTGCTGCGTTTTTTATTTTTTTCACCGATAAGTTTTGCTGTTTTGGTTTAGATTAGGGTTTGAGTTGAGACTTGAGAGGGTGAGACTGTGAGACGAGTGATAAGTTTTATTTATTTATTTTTTTAAATTTCAAATTTGCGGGTCTACGAGTACCCGTGGGTAGTACCTGGTCCATCTGTAAAAGTTACGGGCGGGTTGGGTACGGATCAGATTCTCATAGATCAAAATATGTGTTACTTGAATCCGTCTGTTGGGTACGGGTGCCCGTTGACACGGGGATACATCCATCCGTTTGCCAGGTCTAACTAGTATAATATAGAAAGAGACTTTAAGGAAATGGAGTATCGTGAGTCCAAGCTACCCTATATAGACAAATAGTTTCAACCATTTGTCTCTATCTAAAATGTTACCATCGGTGCTGATGTTGATAAGTAAAGGATCCAATGATAAAGCAGTAAAAAGTAAAATGTTATTTAACTTACGAGATGACAGTAAAATGATAAAATGTTCAATGCATCTAAGACTCTTAAATTATTAGATTTTTTGTTCTTTTATAATTACGTTACAATAATTCTTCGGTGTAATGGCTCTATGTACAATCGCCAATTAAGGTGTATCATATCAATGTGTGTTTGACACATATCCCCTCGTTAAGTGATTGTACATGCATCCGTTGTACCAAATATTTACTGAAAATATTGACAAAAGCCACCTCCACCTCTTGTTAAAATCTTGAACGGTTTGTGAGAGTGCGCTGGCTAATTAAGTGCTGAACTAACTTCATATTTATTATGCCTAAAAAAATACACTGATGTGAGAACTACTTAAAAGATAAAATGTAATAGTTGTCAAAGCCCAAACTATCTCAAAGAGAAATTATATAACACTTGTCTCACCTTTATCAAAATAAAGGATCAGGAGCTCTCCATGTGTTAAGACAACTTACAAAAGTATTCATTACGTTGAGTTCAAAGGTGTATAAAATAACAACTCTCTTCATAAAAGAACGAGGTTGGGCATACTAGAGCTTTAACTATTATTTTTCTCTATAAA